TCTCCCTCTGCCTGCCTCTCCCCCTGCTTGTGTTCTGTCTCTCTCTCTCTCTCTGACAAATAAATAAATAAATAAATCTTTAAAAAAAAAAAAAACAACACATTTCATCAATTTCTGCCCAGACGTAAAAAGGCATGGAAGGGTTTTTATTCTGTGTATTGCAGTATTAGTGATGTTTTAAAGTGCTGTGATTGCTAATCACTTCCACTACCCAAAGCTCTTTCCCTACTGACTACCACCCATGTGGTGGTGGAAATTTTTAGAAGAGGCATTCATTTCCCCTAACAATGAGCACTGGCAAAATTACTCTGAAGCTGACTTCATCTAACAGATGTACCCCTTACTTTTGAACCATCATATGGACCTATAATATAAATTACCAGTACTATTGAACTGACATGATTTTGCATGCTTCCTGATAAGAATTTTCAAGGAAGTTACAAAGATTGCAGGTTTTACTGTTATTCCAGTTAGGATCTTTTTAAAAGAAATACATCTGTTTCTGTTCTGTGTCCTGAGCTACTACATTAATGATGGATAGATTCCAAAAGTATTCGATATTACCTGATTTCAAAAGCATGAATACATTCTACAAAGGATGGGCAAATTCTCCAGAAATTTAAAGGACTGTCATTTTTACAAGTTGGTAAGGTAGAAGATTAAATTTTCCCACCACCGAAAGTGGTCTTTTATAAATTTGCCAATGTTACATGAATAATTACTCCTAAAAGTCTATACCAAATGTTTCCTAGTTAGTACATTTTTATTCAGGTTTTCAACCTAACATGTAATGGAAAAAGGGAAAAAAAATCAGATTTAAAAAATCAGATTAAAACTAAACACAGCTGCTGTTAAGCATCTTGCCTTTTCAGCAAAAAATGGAATTTAACCTGCTTTTTCTAACTCTTTTCGAGTCATGTTTTTGTTTTTGAGATTTGGTTGGTAGATACAGAGCATTTCATAAAACTCTCCTTCGATATTTGCCTCCTCTTCATTTTATCTGTTGTCTTCTCTGATCAAATTTTTGTCTGTGAAAGTGAAGGTGAACTTTAGACAATATATGTTTGAGGCATGCTGATTGAACAGAACCGTTTTGTTGGCAAATATCACATGGTAATTCAAATAGTATAACGCCTTCAAGAGAGTGTTTGCATTTATTTAACTGCAAATAGCGAATTCGGTAACCTTTAAAAAGTGAGTAATTTAAACGTCATCTCTTTATTTCCATAAAACATGGGCTCATCTCAATTGCTGTTTTTTCCTGTTTGTTTTCTCCACAGCTCCGCCGCAATACCTACAGCCATTTATTTCCGATAAAAATGTGCCATCTGAACTAGAATACATGATTATTTCCTTCAAAGAACCGCACGTGTATCTCCGGCAGTGGAACAATAGTCCTGTGTGTCAGGAGATCCGGTTCTCAGCTCAAGCAGACTGTAAACTTCTCGAGTGCAGAAATGTCACAATGCAAAGCATGGTAAAACCCTTCAGCATCTTCGGGCAGGTGGCCATTTCCCGCGACACAGGAGAAAAGCTGCTTGACTGCACCATCGTAGTGGACTCTATCTTTGTCAACTTTGGGCAACATGTGGTTCATTCTCTAAACACTGCAGTACAAGCTTGGCAACAGGTATGCACATCCTAGAACAGTTTACAGTTTGTCTGCATGTGATCTTTTACTAGGCACTCTATGTTATCACTTCTAATAGTAAGCGAAGCACAAACGAAAATGTGAGAGGATGAAGAATTTGATGGGCACCATAATATTTGGGGTTTTCTCTGTTGAGCAAAGTGGTGCATGTTATTTTTAAAAGCTTTGGAGAATATGGGTTCTCTACACATGCATAGGAGACCATGCCCACATTTTTGTGACTAATGTACCACATCTGTGTGGAAAGTAACGTATTCCCAGAAATTTTTTCCAAGTATTATGGCTTTCCTTTGCCAAAGCTTCAACTTAGTTATGTATCAGATTGTCTAAGCATCCATTGCAGAAATGAAGAACCTGTGTGAGCCTTGCTGATAGTAAACATTTCATCTTTTCAGAGGGAAAAAGCAGCGAGAAGAAATATGCAAGCCCAACAAGTCTTAGTCTTTCCCCCTATTATCATTCTGCCATTTTTTAATCAGTTAAAGACTCTTGATCGATAATTTTTTCCTTTCATCTCTTGCCAGAAATTAGCCATATCAAACAAGGGGGTGAAGTGTAAGTCTGTGCTGCACGGCCTATTTAAAATGGGGAACCTGTCCATGCGGCTAGCATGAAAATAATTTCACAGAATGTTTGGATAATACTTTGCTCCTCAATTTAAGAACAAATCACTTCTGCTTCCACACTGATTTTCAGTATAATATTGTATTTCCATCAAGTTTGTGTTGCTATTAAAGCTGGGACACTCCCCCCACTTCTGTATATACTACCTGCATTTGTGTGGAGCTGGCCCCCCAGGAGAAATGGTCCTTCGTCCTGCGCTGACCTCATGTGGAGACAGGCCGGGGTGGGGGGCGCGGGAGGGGGGGCTCTGAGTTCTCCAACTTAAGAATGTTTATGGGAATAAACTCTTTTCTTTATATGCATGAAGACCTATATAAGACTAAGGAATTAATTACCTAACATGGCACTACAATAGCAAAGGGAAAGAAGATAACACATCTGTTTTTTATTTTAAAATTCTTTTTTAAGGGCATTCCATGGTTTTCTTGTTGCAGAGGACATGCGTAAAATAAGAGCTAGTGTGATCTAAATCTTTGCAGCTGGTTCGAATAGTGATGTGAAAAAAACCTCCATGGCTCCAATTTCTGTTTTTTGTCATATTTTGAACAATGCATTTAATAAAAAACAAACCTAGAAAACATAAAAGAGTCATTGATAGAGCATTTAAACCCAGGATATTTTTGTCTTGGTATCAGGGCCATTCTAAGAGGACTCATGTGTAGCAACTACTGCAAAATGGCCTTCAGAAATATCAGTTTCCTCCCAGGGTAAAAATATTCTCTTAGACACAGCTATATATATAAATAAAATACGGTGCATAAATATTTAAATGTTTAAACCACATCAGAGTGCCAATGACTGACTGGCTAACACAGTGCCTTGAAGGAATATTCTGAGTTTTTTTTTTTTAAATGGAATTGTATATTTGATTAACTAGAGCCATATGTCACGTAGCATATTGCTGACAGGTACATTCTATGAATAGTTGATTCTGATTTATACAGGGATTTGGCAATGTTAACATGAGCCACAAGAGGATATACTTCTGTAATTGTTGCTGTAATTTTCTTGTTTCCTCCCATGTCAAGGGTACTTGCCACCAAGTTTTAATGTGGTAGGCATCTAACCCTATGCATTCTAAAGTAAATACAAAAATGCACTACTTTGAAATTAACGGACATTTGACATTGAAATGGGTTTATAGAGGGTTATTAAGTTCATTGTTTCTAAGATGTTCTGAATGTGGTTTATTCCCTTAGTGGGGAAGATTAATTTCCTAAGCTTGGAGGTTATTGTGTGTACAGTGCTCATATGCAGTCTAATTATTGCCGATGAGAAATATGAATTTAATAAGCCAGATAAGTTATTCAAGTTTTCCGCATACTTTTATTGGATTCATATCTGAGACAAGTCATTTGTATCTAGTGTGGATGGACTAGACAGTTGAAGCATGAAACAGTTTGACCTTTAACCTTTAGGTCACAGGCTCAAGATTAACAGAAGCCTTCATCAGTGTCTGATTTCTCTGGCCATAGATTTTTTTTTTTTTCCTCTTTTGCACATGATTAATGTTTTGTGAAACCAGATTAAGGACGCAAAATGCCACTTGCAATTTGCTTTATATTTCAATGCCATATCCCCACATTTGGACAAAATAACATGTAAAGGGAATTTTTATTTAAAAATGAAGGTCTTGCTCATGTGTCTTATCTTACACCAGAATGACGTCTGTCTCTGTTTAGTTGCAAATGCCTGTACAACACTCCAGCACAAATCTTAAATGTAGATACGCCATCTTTTAATTACAAATCTGAGTGAGCACCCTGAGACTTAGACTATATGATGTCATATAAAATGTGTATGAACTGTTTTATAATACACCAGAATTTAAGACACTCCGAGAAATGCTTAAACTTATTACGGTTATAATGAACTCCACAGATGAAGGAACAGTAGAGAAACAGTTCTCTGAGGACTTTGAGTATTCTTTAGAAAAATGTAAACAACCCCCTCGTGTTCTTCCATTTACATTTTTCTAAAACACTCATCATTTATTAAAGGTCAGTTTTTGGAGATGAGGAAAGTAATATGATTTTTTTTCCCTACTCAAGCCCCATCTGGTAACTTAACCTCTGTGTTACCAGCAGATTGATCCCAATTTATTATGAAAACTGAATTTCAGTCTCAGGACATCTAACTGGGAGTTTGGAATAATATCCCTTTTTCCATGTTTGTACTCTTGGACCTAAAGGAGACAAAAATGTTTATAAGGAGAAGTAGTTTATGTTGATTATATAATGGCAAATGGAAAAATCTCATCAAAATAATTATACACTGTGACTCCAGTTTGATTAAAGGTTTATAAACCTTTAAATATGTAAGACATATAAGATAGGATTAGATAGGATAGACTGGAATAGAAACAGGCAGGACACTTTGAAGAGAAAAATTGCTAGAACAAAATCCACCAAAATATTAACAGCAGTTATTTGAGTGTAAAATTAGAGACTTAAAAAAATACATACTTCCTATATTTTCTAATTTTTCTACTTTGAACATGTATTCACTTATAATTTTAAAAATTAAATTTACTCATGTATTTGTTTCATAAGTGTTTATCCGGTCCCTTTGTGTCAGGCATTATGCTGAGTACTGGAGATAAACTGGTAAATAACACAGACCTGGTTCCTGCCCTCATGCAGCATGGACTCTAATGATGGAGACAGGAGTGAACCCAGAATCAAACAATTTCTTAGTCCCAGGAGGGAAAGTGAAATAGTAGAGTGTGATGTGAGCATAAAATAGGGGGATGTGACATGCTCTGGGGGTGCTCCCAAAAGGCTCCTCAGAAGAAGTGACCTGAAAACGGGAACCTGAGTGTAAGTAGAAAGAAGTTAGTCAAGTGTGAAGGAAAAAAGGTCCAAGCAAGGGAAAGGCACTGAGACAGGAAGGAGTTGGATGTGTTGAATGACTTGAAAGGGGGCCACTGTGATGTTGGAGGAGCAGGAAAGAGCTCGCGGGGCTCGGGTGGGGCAAGCCAGTGGAGAGTGGCTCAAGGTGCAGCGGGGTCAGATCAGGCAGGACGTTCAACCCCACTGGGAGTCAAGCTTTGAAATCGTAGCTCATGATTAAAAGCCACAGTGTAGGGGCACCTGGGTGGCTCAGTTGGTTAAGCGACTGCCTTCAGCACAGGTCATGATCCTGGAGTCCCAGGATCAAGTCCCACATCAGGCTCCCTGCTCAGCAGGGAGTCTTCTTCTCCCTCTGACCCTCTCCCCTCTCATGCTCTCTCTCTCTCTCTCTCTCATTCTCTCTCTCTCACATAAGTAAATAAAATA